ATATTCTATATAAAAAATAGGAAGACGTGGTATGATTGCCAATGAGACAACTCTCCACCAGAGACCAAATGATGAAGAAGTTGGCAAATATATGTCGCTGTATGGCCTTCTACAATGAACAAAACCCATAACGCATAGCAAGATATAAAAGGCCCTAAAATGACAAATGTAAACCAATTCAACGAGAAAACTAACGTGTCTCTGGGTCATTTAAATCAGTGCAAAGAGGAAAGGGGGAAATTCTCTCCATGTCTTACTCCGATGCCACACATTAAGAATGCAGAATATTCTTGACTGTTAACATAATACAAACTGTGCAGTACTTTTAATATTTTCCCAGTTATATTTTCATTTTGTAACTAAACCTACAAGGAGGCTCTAGATATTGTATCAAAATCCCTTGAGAAATCCTCAAAGGTACAAAATATGTTTTGCCAAGTGACTGATATATAGAAATGAAAGCCTACAAAGTGAAAATATTATCAGTTGTACTACAGCTTTTTCTTAAACCTGTTTGACTTGGTTTATATATATTACCATTACTTTTAAAAACATTTAAGATAGTATCATCTGACCACAAGTTTTTACATTTTCCAGGAATTTGATACTATACTTTAAACAGTTAACAATATATTGGCGTCATGAAATGAACAGTATTTTTGATACGTTCGTTTGCAACATTATTACACCCAGAGGCTTTATTGTTTCCAAGATTGTTCACAACAGCCAGAATTTCTTCCAATTTGATTTCCGAATTAAGAATATTCTCAATGTTCTCTGGCGGATTTTTTTTTTATCAAAATCAATATCTTAAGTTCTTTATCCCCATCAACAGCCTCATTTAAGTTTTTAAAATATTCATAAAAAGTATCCAAAGTAACCTTGGTCATTAGAGCTATACTTGGATTTGTCAATATTGTTTAATATTTTCCATAAGCCTTTGGGATCAGTTTTAGATTTTTTGTCTGAGAGTATTAGCAGTTTTTATCTGATAATATTAAAATTGATTGTTCATCTCTCGTTTGTACACTGGATCAGGATGTTGTGGATGCTTTATCCTCTTTGCATGACAAATATGTCGTTGTTCCAGCAGATAAAGCCTTCAATAATATTGTCTTCATATGTGAAAACCATTATTTGCAATGTCTCACAACAGAGCTTGGAATAAATAGAACTACTGGTAACCCGACATATTCTTTAACATCATTAACCAAGGACGAAATTTTACAAAATCACAAATCTGCCCTTCTTTCTTTTGGTATCAACATCAAAGAAAACGAAGAAAATTTACCATCATTATACTGGATACCAAAACTACACAAAACTCCATATAAAGAACGATACATAGCTGGGTCATCAAAATGTTCAACTAAACATCTTTCGAAAGTACTGACTACTATTCTTTCTACAGTTAAAGATGGGCTTCAAAAATATTGTGATGAGATATATTCTACCAGTGGTGTTAACCAGATGTGGATTCTCAAAAATTCGAAAGATCTACTGCTTAATCTTCGATCACAATCTTTGCAATTTTGCAGCAACATAAAGACTTTTGATTTTTCTACGCTTTACACTACTATTCCCCATGCTCAGTTGAAAGATCGACTTCACCATCTCATTAAACAGAGCTTTTTCTATAAAAATGGAAATCGTAGATACAAATTCTTGTTTTGGGTTACAATAATTCATATTTTGTGAAAAACCACACTGAATCTACAAAAAAATATACTGAAGATGATATTATCAAAATGCTGGACTTTTTGATCGACAAAATATTTGTTGAGTTTGGAGGATTTATATTTCAACAGACAGTCGGTATTCCAATGGGAACTAATTGTGCACCCCTACTGGCCGATTTGTTTTTGTACTCGTATGAAGCAGAATTCTTTCAGAACCTTCTAAAAGACAAAAAGAAAAAGCACCTTGCGAAATTCTTTAATTTTACTTTCCGATATATTGATGATGTTCTATCATTGAATAACCCATATTTCAGCCAATACTTACACCTCACATATCCCAGTGAACTTGAAATTAAGGATACTACTGATACTAGAAGGACTGCTTCATACCTTGATCTTTTCCTCAATATTGACACAGATGGACGACTTCACACGAAAATCTATGATAAACGGGACGATTTTAACTTCCCAATTATCAATTTCCCATTTCTCAGCAGTAACATACCCTCTGCCCCTTCGTATGGTGTTTACATATCTCAATTTATACGTTATTCTCGTGCTTGTTCACACTATACGGACTTCATCTACAGGAGTGTGCTCCTTACACAGAAACTGCTCCAACAAAGTTATGAGGACAGATTAAAAATGACACTCCGTAAATTTTACGGACACCATCACGAATTGGTTAGTCCATACGATGTGTCTTTTTCCAAACTAACTAAGGACATTTTTACCACGTGTTAGATTGTGGTTTGTCATTACGTCGTCTGATCTTTTAATTACCGAACGTGACTTATTCCCGATTGTGACTGTTTTGCTGAGTGTGAAACCGCATTGCTATAAGACGTGTCACGGTACCTTTCTATCCCAAATTCATGTATTTAATTTTGATGTTATATTTGTTATTCTCGTCGGATTTTGTCAAATGTCTCATTGTCTTTTCTGTTATATTCGTGTGTTATGGTAAAGGTAGATAATCACCCCCTTCATTTATTAGATTTTAGTTTGGTTCAACGAAATTTATACGATATATTTGGTTTAGTTTGATTCAGAAGAAACACCGACATAGCTAGATAATACAATTAATTATCTAATTACTACCACAATTTTCATTGTTATTAATACATGTAATGTCAGTATTACAAATCTAATCTTGAATCAATCCTAATCCTATCTTATTTTTGGGAAATATTTTTACAAATTCAAATGTGACGTCACTTTGTGTGTTTTTTTAGAATTTCAAATGTGACGTCACTTTGTGCGTTGATGCTTTGGCTAACTCGGCTGTGTATTTTTATATGTTGGATTAAGTTGTTTTATGTAATGTATCCGTTTTTATTCTGTAGTTAGTCCCCACTTCGGTTTTATCATGTATATCTATCATAAAGTCATTTTATAAAATTTACTGTTTGCAAAATTATAAATTATTCTAAATAATAAGGATGTTCTTGTCCCAGGCAGAAAACCCTGGCCGTGTTAGGCGCAACTTTTTGGAAGTTTTGGTCCTCGGTGCTCTTCGGCTTTGTACTTGTTTTGGCTTTCAAGCTTTTTTCATCTGAGCGTCACTGGATGGTCTTATGTGGACGAGACGCACGTCTGGCGTATTGAATTTTAAGCCTAGTTCCTTTTGTTAGCTATTATTCGTGTGTTTCTTTGTCCTATATGTTCTCCCATTTATTTGTATTGTGGTCCTGTCATGTGATGTTGTCGTTTTGGTGTTTTGTTTGACGTTGCCATTAAAGCGGGAGGTTTGGCATGCCACAAAACCAGTTTCAACCCACCATTTTTTTCTTAAAATGTCCTGTACCAAGTCAGGAAAATGGCCATTGTTATATTATAGTTCGTTTCTGTGTGTGTTACATTTTAATGTTGTGTTTTGTTGTGTCGTTGTTCTCCTCTTATATTTGATGCGTTTCCCTCAGTTTTAGTTTTTAACCCGGATTTGTTTTTATCTCTATCGATTTATGAGTTTCGAACAGCGGTATACTACTGTTGCCTTTATTTTGTACCCTCTACTTGCCTTCCTCAGTGTGGTCTTATTTTAAAGGAGACTTTTAAAACGTCCATATTTTCTTTTGTGTCTGTGAAAAATATTTCTTTAGATGCACTATTTGTTTACGAAGTTTTGTTATTAAATTTCCTATATTTAGAATTTTTGTATATCATTCCAAATACATTAGCAGATGATTTTTCAAATATATCACACAAATTATTAACATCTGTTTTAATATCAAACTGTAATGTATTTTGTTTAAAAAGCAACAACGTCCAACGTTGGAAGTAGTTTCTATATTTCTGATATTGTTTGCTTCATTCATTCTTGCGTGTTCTATAAATTCTGTATTCCTATCACTATTTCATCTGATATTTTGGGGTTTTTTTTTTGTAACCATGTCATTTGTCATTTACAATTGCATCAATTATGAGTGATAAATTTAACTGACAATGAACATCTAAAACAGGAGATTCAAATCCTCTACTTTAAATATTCAAATTGGAAAACATATTAGGTGATTAAAGCAAGTAATTATATATAATCCACAACACTTGTATCATTGCAATTAACATTTCCTATATATTTGTCGCAGTCCACTCTAGAATTTGCAATGTATAAATTATTTTTCTTGCATAGTTCCAATAGTCTACGTCCGAAAGTGAATCGTGGAATTCAATTCTTAAATAAAAAATATCTTAATAGATTAAAAACTCAATAAACTAAATGAAGTTTATCGTAATCCTTTTAGATATTTAATTTGATTGAAAATAGATCATTTTACTGTGTTATTTTAATTCCATATCATCATTTATATCCTTGTTGCCACGATGTGTTAAAATGGCGTTAAGAAACGATCAATCAATAAACTTGAGTGTACACTGAACATGGGTATACTACCTTTGAAATACACATCGCATGACAAATTATCTTGTAAGCGCTCTTAACACCATATTTCTCGACAGGTTTTACGAAATTGTATCTCATTATAGTACATGATAAATAGCCAAAATAGTTGTTTCGTAGTTTTGTACTGCCTGACTGCAGTTAATTTGGATAAATAGCCTTCTATTGCAAACAACAGTTCCTTTTTAAAATTTGATCTACGGTCAACTTTGCTACACAAAGAACATGTCTTATTTTTGCTGCTTATCAAGCTGAAATGTTCAAGCAGAAGGATCTCATAATTTCTTTTTACTAGAGATTGATTCGAATTTAATCGGACAGGTAGTTAAAAATTTGGAACACGAAGGTGTCAGCTTTTTCATACTTTGTTTTATTGGATACATTGCATATATGTTCTTTTATAAGTTCATATGTGGTATAGGTTGCAATTCTGTAAATATAGACAATGCAATTTCCCATAGGAACTCCCTTTGCGGCTGAAACTGTGACACCTTTACTATGAAGTTTCGTGAAAAATAATATCCCAGAACGGAAAGTTTATATGCACTACTATTTTATTCAAAGGTCAAAATATAGGGCTGTGCGGCATATTTTCAACATGTATATGCCCTGAACTTCTAAGAGTTTAAACTTGTACTAAAATTCTATACTACCCTTACCTCCATATTTGGACCTCCTAAGAATTAAAATTTTGGCGCTACCATGTTTTTCTATACTGGTTACATTCCCAAGTGATGTCTCTATGAGATGAAACACAGAAATCATAAATGGGAACCAGTACGTTAACAAATTAACATATCTATGAATATTATATATCTCCCCAAAAGAGGCGTGGTTTGAGAAACAGTTGTATTTACAAAGTGCAACCTATACAAACATTTATTCAAATAGAAAACTCTCTAAAAACACTTTTTCTCACAACAATACTTATTTATCAGAATTATAGCCTTAAAGAAATCACTGCATATACTCTAAGTTTCCTTTTACAGTACATTTTATACCCCTACCCCTGTTTCAATATTTTAAAGAATTTGAAAACAAGACTTTAATTATTGCCAGCTTACCCTATGTGCATGTTTTCTGACATGAACTGTCTTAAACCTGTTTGAAACTATTCTGATAACAAATTGAAAGCATGTTGTTATACTATAAGTGTATTGTTTAGTAGTTAATCATTCCAACTTTCAAGATTATACAAAGTATCCAATCCTGCCTGTGTCTCCAGTCCACATCTTACTGAATGCCTATTTGTCAATGAAAGTTCATAATTTCTGTCTCAAATGGTCAGTTAAGAATTCTTGTCTCAACAGTATCATCCCTAACCATATATCTAACATAAGTTAGTTAATATATGAACTAGAATTGTCTAAACAAAGCCAAATTTGCAAAAGTTGTATTTAAGAAGATATCAGTCTGGTGCATAAATTCACTAAAAGTTTGATAGAAATGACTGCTTACGTCTTATTTTTGCATAACTTCCCAGCACAGTTATTGTTTTCTTTACAAAAGACCTTGAAAATAATAAAATCATAGCATTTACAAGTTAAATTATCTGTTTTATGACCCAGGGGTAGGCATTTTTTTCTGTTTTTTGTCCCTGGGGCCTCACATTTCCTAAATATTTTCCCTGTTTCTAGCAATGTGGAATATTTAGTATATATTTAGGATAGAACACACTGTTGTAAGTTTTATTGAGGTCTTTTGTAATTCTAGCTTGTACTTTTTAATGTCCCGGTCACAAAAAAGCACATTTAGGTGTTACGGCTTACTTTTGGGTTATCGACAGGACAAAAACACCCCAACAAAAATATTTAAGAAGGATCAATGAGTTGCAATGACTGCGAAGAGTAAATATAAGCACTTCTAAACAATTTAAATTACAAATAGGCATATATTATGAATTTATTTTGAATTCAGGGCTTTAAGTAAACCATGCATACTGTAAACTGTGAATTTATGCTGAGTCATCATAGTTAAGGCTCAGGATTTTCTCAAGCTTCATGAAATATTTATAAAACTTCATATTTCAGTTAAATTCTTTAAAATCTCTGAGATAAACCAGATTTTGTGAAAATCTGTATGTTCTATTTTTTAACCCTATATACAAACATTTATTCAAATAGAAAACTCTCTAAAAACACTTTTTCTCACAACAATACTTATTTATCAGAATTATAGCCTTAAAGAAATCACTGCATATACTCTAAGTTTCCTTTTACAGTACATTTTATACCCCTACCCCTGTTTCAATATTTTAAAGAATTTGAAAACAAGACTTTAATTATTGCTAGCTTACCCTATGTGCATGTTTTCTGACATGAACTGTCTTAAACCTGTTTGAAACTATTCTGATAACAAATTGAAAGCATGTTGTTATACTATAAGTGTATTGTTTAGTAGTTAATCATTCCAACTTTCAAGATTATACAAAGTATCCAATCCTGCCTGTGTCTCCAGTCCACATCTTACTGAATGCCTATTTGTCAATGAAAGTTCATAATTTCTGTCTCAAATGGTCAGTTAAGAATTCTTGTCTCAACAGTATCATCCCTAACCATATATCTAACATAAGTTAGTTAATATATGAACTAGAATTGTCTAAACAAAGCCAAATTTGCAAAAGTTGTATTTAAGAAGATATCAGTCTGGTGCATAAATTCACTAAAAGTTTGATAGAAATGACTGCTTACGTCTTATTTTTGCATAACTTCCCAGCACAGTTATTGTTTTCTTTACAAAAGACCTTGAAAATAATAAAATCATAGCATTTACAAGTTAAATTATCTGTTTTATGACTCAGGGGTAGGCATTTTTTTCTGTTTTTTGTCCCTGGGGCCTCACATTTCCTAAATATTTTCCCTGTTTCTAGCAATGTGGAATATTTAGTATATATTTAGGATAGAACACACTGTTGTAAGTTTTATTGAGGTCTTTTGTAATTCTAGCTTGTACTTTTTAATGTCCCGGTCACAAAAAAGCACATTTAGGTGTTACGGCTTACTTTTGGGTTATCGACAGGACAAAAACACCCCAACAAAAATATTTAAGAAGGATCAATGAGTTGCAATGACTGCGAAGAGTAAATATAAGCACTTCTAAACAATTTAAATTACAAATAGGCATATATTATGAATTTATTTTGAATTCAGGGCTTTAAGTAAACCATGCATACTGTAAACTGTGAATTTATGCTGAGTCATCATAGTTAAGGCTCAGGATTTTCTCAAGCTTCATGAAATATTTATAAAACTTCATATTTCAGTTAAATTCTTTAAAATCTCTGAGATAAACCAGATTTTGTGAAAATCTGTATGTTCTATTTTTTAACCCTATATAGGTTGCAATTCTGTAAATATAGACAATGCAATTTCCCATAGGAACTCCCTTTGCGGCTGAAACTGTGACACTTTTACTATGAAGTTTCGTGAAAAATAATATCCCAGAACGGAAAGTTTATATGCACTACTATTTTATTCAAAGGTCAAAATATAGGGCTGTGCGGCATATTTTCAACATGTATATGCCCTGAACTTCTAAGAGTTTAAACTTGTACTAAAATTCTATACTACCCTTACCTCCATATTTGGACCTCCTAAGAATTAAAATTTTGGCGCTACCATGTTTTTCTATACTGGTTACATTCCCAAGTGATGTCTCTATGAGATGAAACACAGAAATCATAAATGGGAACCAGTACGTTAACAAATTAACATATCTATGAATATTATATATCTCCCCAAAAGAGGCGTGGTTTGAGAAACAGTTGTATTTACAAAGTGCAACCTATACAAACATTTATTCAAATAGAAAACTCTCTAAAAACACTTTTTCTCACAACAATACTTATTTATCAGAATTATAGCCTTAAAGAAATCACTGCATATACTCTAAGTTTCCTTTTACAGTACATTTTATACCCCTACCCCTGTTTCAATATTTTAAAGAATTTGAAAACAAGACTTTAATTATTGCTAGCTTACCCTATGTGCATGTTTTCTGACATGAACTGTCTTAAACCTGTTTGAAACTATTCTGATAACAAATTGAAAGCATGTTGTTATACTATAAGTGTATTGTTTAGTAGTTAATCATTCCAACTTTCAAGATTATACAAAGTATCCAATCCTGCCTGTGTCTCCAGTCCACATCTTACTGAATGCCTATTTGTCAATGAAAGTTCATAATTTCTGTCTCAAATGGTCAGTTAAGAATTCTTGTCTCAACAGTATCATCCCTAACCATATATCTAACATAAGTTAGTTAATATATGAACTAGAATTGTCTAAACAAAGCCAAATTTGCAAAAGTTGTATTTAAGAAGATATCAGTCTGGTGCATAAATTCACTAAAAGTTTGATAGAAATGACTGCTTACGTCTTATTTTTGCATAACTTCCCAGCACAGTTATTGTTTTCTTTACAAAAGACCTTGAAAATAATAAAATCATAGCATTTACAAGTTAAATTATCTGTTTTATGACCCAGGGGTAGGCATTTTTTTCTGTTTTTTGTCCCTGGGGCCTCACATTTCCTAAATATTTTCCGTGTTTCTAGCAATGTGGAATATTTAGTATATATTTAGGATAGAACACACTGTTGTAAGTTTTATTGAGGTCTTTTGTAATTCTAGCTTGTACTTTTTAATGTCCCGGTCACAAAAAAGCACATTTAGGTGTTACGGCTTACTTTTGGGTTATCGACAGGACAAAAACACCCCAACAAAAATATTTAAGAAGGATCAATGAGTTGCAATGACTGCGAAGAGTAAATATAAGCACTTCTAAACAATTTAAATTACAAATAGGCATATATTATGAATTTATTTTGAATTCAGGGCTTTAAGTAAACCATGCATACTGTAAACTGTGAACTTATGCTGAGTCATCATAGTTAAGGCTCAGGATTTTCTCAAGCTTCATGAAATATTTATAAAACTTCATATTTCAGTTAAATTCTTTAAAATCTCTGAGATAAACCAGATTTTGTGAAAATCTGTATGTTCTATTTTTTAACCCTATATAGGTTGCAATTCTGTAAATATAGACAATGCAATTTCCCATAGGAACTCCCTTTGCGGCTGAAACTGTGACACTTTTACTATGAAGTTTCGTGAAAAATAATATCCCAGAACGGAAAGTTTATATGCACTACTATTTTATTCAAAGGTCAAAATATAGGACTGTGCGGCATATTTTCAACATGTATATGCCCTGAACTTCTAAGAGTTTAAACTTGTACTAAAATTCTATACTACCCTTACCTCCATATTTGGACCTCCTAAGAATTAAAATTTTGGCGCTACCATGTTTTTCTATACTGGTTACATTCCCAAGTGATGTCTCTATGAGATGAAACACAGAAATCATAAATGGGAACCAGTACGTTAACAAATTAACATATCTATGAATATTATATATCTCCCCAAAAGAGGCGTGGTTTGAGAAACAGTTGTATTTACAAAGTGCAACCTATACAAACATTTATTCAAATAGAAAACTCTCTAAAAACACTTTTTCTCACAACAATACTTATTTATCAGAATTATAGCCTTAAAGAAATCACTGCATATACTCTAAGTTTCCTTTTACAGTACATTTTATACCCCTACCCCTGTTTCAATATTTTAAAGAATTTGAAAACAAGACTTTAATTATTGCTAGCTTACCCTATGTGCATGTTTTCTGACATGAACTGTCTTAAACCTGTTTGAAACTATTCTGATAACAAATTGAAAGCATGTTGTTATACTATAAGTGTATTGTTTAGTAGTTAATCATTCCAACTTTCAAGATTATACAAAGTATCCAATCCTGCCTGTGTCTCCAGTCCACATCTTACTGAATGCCTATTTGTCAATGAAAGTTCATAATTTCTGTCTCAAATGGTCAGTTAAGAATTCTTGTCTCAACAGTATCATCCCTAACCATATATCTAACATAAGTTAGTTAATATATGAACTAGAATTGTCTAAACAAAGCCAAATTTGCAAAAGTTGTATTTAAGAAGATATCAGTCTGGTGCATAAATTCACTAAAAGTTTGATAGAAATGACTGCTTACGTCTTATTTTTGCATAACTTCCCAGCACAGTTATTGTTTTCTTTACAAAAGACCTTGAAAATAATAAAATCATAGCATTTACAAGTTAAATTATCTGTTTTATGACCCAGGGGTAGGCATTTTTTTCTGTTTTTTGTCCCTGGGGCCTCACATTTCCTAAATATTTTCCCTGTTTCTAGCAATGTGGAATATTTAGTATATATTTAGGATAGAACACACTGTTGTAAGTTTTATTGAGGTCTTTTGTAATTCTAGCTTGTACTTTTTAATGTCCCGGTCACAAAAAAGCACATTTAGGTGTTACGGCTTACTTTTGGGTTATCGACAGGACAAAAACACCCCAACAAAAATATTTAAGAAGGATCAATGAGTTGCAATGACTGCGAAGAGTAAATATAAGCACTTCTAAACAATTTAAATTACAAATAGGCATATATTATGAATTTATTTTGAATTCAGGGCTTTAAGTAAACCATGCATACTGTAAACTGTGAATTTATGCTGAGTCATCATAGTTAAGGTTCAGGATTTTCTCAAGCTTCATGAAATATTTATAAAACTTCATATTTCAGTTAAATTCTTTAAAATCTCTGAGATAAACCAGATTTTGTGAAAATCTGTATGTTCTATTTTTTAACCCTATATAGGTTGCAATTCTGTAAATATAGACAATGCAATTTCCCATAGGAACTCCCTTTGCGGCTGAAACTGTGACACTTTTACTATGAAGTTTCGTGAAAAATAATATCCCAGAACGGAAAGTTTATATGCACTACTATTTTATTCAAAGGTCAAAATATAGGGCTGTGCGGCATATTTTCAACATGTATATGCCCTGAACTTCTAAGAGTTTAAACTTGTACTAAAATTCTATACTACCCTTACCTCCATATTTGGACCTCCTAAGAATTAAAATTTTGGCGCTACCATGTTTTTCTATACTGGTTACATTCCCAAGTGATGTCTCTATGAGATGAAACACAGAAATCATAAATGGGAACCAGTACGTTAACAAATTAACATATCTATGAATATTATATATCTCCCCAAAAGAGGCGTGGTTTGAGAAACAGTTGTATTTACAAAGTGCAACCTATACAAACATTTATTCAAATAGAAAACTCTCTAAAAACACTTTTTCTCACAACAATACTTATTTATCAGAATTATAGCCTTAAAGAAATCACTGCATATACTCTAAGTTTCCTTTTACAGTACATTTTATACCCCTACCCCTGTTTCAATATTTTAAAGAATTTGAAAACAAGACTTTAATTATTGCTAGCTTACCCTATGTGCATGTTTTCTGACATGAACTGTCTTAAACCTGTTTGAAACTATTCTGATAACAAATTGAAAGCATGTTGTTATACTATAAGTGTATTGTTTAGTAGTTAATCATTCCAACTTTCAAGATTATACAAAGTATCCAATCCTGCCTGTGTCTCCAGTCCACATCTTACTGAATGCCTATTTGTCAATGAAAGTTCATAATTTCTGTCTCAAATGGTCAGTTAAGAATTCTTGTCTCAACAGTATCATCCCTAACCATATATCTAACATAAGTTAGTTAATATATGAACTAGAATTGTCTAAACAAAGCCAAATTTGCAAAAGTTGTATTTAAGAAGATATCAGTCTGGTGCATAAATTCACTAAAAGTTTGATAGAAATGACTGCTTACGTCTTATTTTTGCATAACTTCCCAGCACAGTTATTGTTTTCTTTACAAAAGACCTTGAAAATAATAAAATCATAGCATTTACAAGTTAAATTATCTGTTTTATGACCCAGGGGTAGGCATTTTTTTCTGTTTTTTGTCCCTGGGGCCTCACATTTCCTAAATATTTTCCCTGTTTCTAGCAATGTGGAATATTTAGTATATATTTAGGATAGAACACACTGTTGTAAGTTTTATTGAGGTCTTTTGTAATTCTAGCTTGTACTTTTTAATGTCCCGGTCACAAAAAAGCACATTTAGGTGTTACGGCTTACTTTTGGGTTATCGACAGGACAAAAACACCCCAACAAAAATATTTAAGAAGGATCAATGAGTTGCAATGACTGCGAAGAGTAAATATAAGCACTTCTAAACAATTTAAATTACAAATAGGCATATATTATGAATTTATTTTGAATTCAGGGCTTTAAGTAAACCATGCATACTGTAAACTGTGAATTTATGCTGAGTCATCATAGTTAAGGCTCAGGATTTTCTCAAGCTTCATGAAATATTTATAAAACTTCATATTTCAGTTAAATTCTTTAAAATCTCTGAGATAAACCAGATTTTGTGAAAATCTGTATGTTCTATTTTTTAACCCTATATAGGTTGCAATTCTGTAAATATAGACAATGCAATTTCCCATAGGAACTCCCTTTGCGGCTGAAACTGTGACACTTTTACTATGAAGTTTCGTGAAAAATAATATCCCAGAACGGAAAGTTTATATGCACTACTATTTTATTCAAAGGTCAAAATATAGGGCTGTGCGGCATATTTTCAACATGTATATGCCCTGAACTTCTAAGAGTTTTAACTTGTACTAAAATTCTATACTACCCTTACCTCCATATTTGGACCTCCTAAGAATTAAAATTTTGGCGCTACCATGTTTTTCTATACTGGTTACATTCCCAAGTGATGTCTCTATGAGATGAAACACAGAAATCATAAATGGGAACCAGTACGTTAACAAATTAACATATCTATGAATATTATATATCTCCCCAAAAGAGGCGTGGTTTGAGAAACAGTTGTATTTACAAAGTGCAACCTATACAAACATTTATTCAAATAGAAAACTCTCTAAAAACACTTTTTCTCACAACAATACTTATTTATCAGAATTATAGCCTTAAAGAAATCACTGCATATACTCTAAGTTTCCTTTTACAGTACATTTTATACCCCTACCCCTGTTTCAATATTTTAAAGAATTTGAAAACAAGACTTTAATTATTGCTAGCTTACCCTATGTGCATGTTTTCTGACATGAACTGTCTTAAACCTGTTTGAAACTATTCTGATAACAAATTGAAAGCATGTTGTTATACTATAAGTGTATTGTTTAGTAGTTAATCATTCCAACTTTCAAGATTATACAAAGTATCCAATCCTGCCTGTGTCTCCAGTCCACATCTTACTGAATGCCTATTTGTCAATGAAAGTTCATAATTTCTGTCTCAAATGGTCAGTTAAGAATTCTTGTCTCAACAGTATCATCCCTAACCATATATCTAACATAAGTTAGTTAATATATGAACTAGAATTGTCTAAACAAAGCCAAATTTGCAAAAGTTGTATTTAAGAAGATATCAGTCTGGTGCATAAATTCACTAAAAGTTTGATAGAAATGACTGCTTACGTCTTATTTTTGCATAACTTCCCAGCACAGTTATTGTTTTCTTTACAAAAGACCTTGAAAATAATAAAATCATAGCATTTACAAGTTAAATTATCTGTTTTATGACCCAGGGGTAGGCATTTTTTTCTGTTTTTTGTCCCTGGGGCCTCACATTTCCTAAATATTTTCCCTGTTTCTAGCAATGTGGAATATTTAGTATATATTTAGGATAGAACACACTGTTGTAAGTTTTATTGAGGTCTTTTGTAATTCTAGCTTGTACTTTTTAATGTCCCGGTCACAAAAAAGCACATTTAGGTGTTACGGCTTACTTTTGGGTTATCGACAGGACAAAAACACCCCAACAAAAATATTTAAGAAGGATCAATGAGTTGCAATGACTGCGAAGAGTAAATATAAGCACTTCTAAACAATTTAAATTACAAATAGGCATATATTATGAATTTATTTTGAATTCAGGGCTTTAAGTAAACCATGCATACTGTAAACTGTGAATTTATGCTGAGTCATCATAGTTAAGGCTCAGGATTTTCTCAAGCTTCATGAAATATTTATAAAACTTCATATTTCAGTTAAATTCTTTAAAATCTCTGAGATAAACCAGATTTTGTGAAAATCTGTATGTTCTATTTTTTAACCCTATATAGGTTGCAATTCTGTAAATATAGACAATGCAATTTCCCATAGGAACTCCCTTTGCGGCTGAAACTGTGACACTTTTACTATGAAGTTTCGTGAAAAATAATATCCCAGAACGGAAAGTTTATATGCACTACTATTTTATTCAAAGGTCAAAATATAGGGCTGTGCGGCATATTTTCAACATGTATATGCCCTGAACTTCTAAGAGTTTAAACTTGTACTAAAATTCTATACTACCCTTACCTCCATATTTGGACCTCCTAAGAATTAAAATTTTGGCGCTACCATGTTTTTCTATACTGGTTACATTCCCAAGTGATGTCTCTATGAGATGAAACACAGAAATCATAAATGGGAACCAGTACGTTAACAAATTAACATATCTATGAATATTATATATCTCCCCAAAAGAGGCGTGGTTTGAGAAACAGCTGTATTTACAAAGTGCAACCTATAACCATGCAAAGAAACTTGTAATCGCTTGTAAACTCACCGAACCTCTCCTTTCCAGCAATAAAACCAATTGCTAAAGGGCGTCCGTATACATAAATTTGTAGCCACGTCGGGTAGGAAAAGAGTGGTTAAATCCAATAATCTGTATGCATAAGAATCGTTTCAACGACTCTTTAATAGGTCTGCTGGTTACTTAATGCAAGGTAAAATTTCTACACCGATTTAACATATCCTTTTCTAGTGGCGATTATTTCCGAACCCCCCACCCAGATATACCCCTTTTCTACCTGTTGGATTTATTGTTAAATTTAATGGCCTTGAATACATATGAATTACATGCCGCTGGAAATTAAGCAAACAACAATAAAAATTTCATCATATTTGAGTAAGTCTAATTTTATTATTTTTTCATGTTTTCCCTATATATAAGATAATGTTATGTCTGCAGGGGCATTCTTAGTTTATTCCTGACCATACTCTGAATGAACCATAAATAACGCTAAGCAAAACAGTTTTAACATTGGGAACCTTTAAAAGTGTAAGAGGTTTCCCATCTGTATTTTTTTTTTTCAAATTTCATTCCGTAACTCACATTTCCGTATAATGTTTTTATTTTAGATCTACTTTCTCTTTATAAGTAGGTCAGCTAATCTTGTGACCGTTATCATAATACGAATACATAAATATTTTGGTGTGTGTTACGATGTTAACGTAAACGGTTTTAATCAAATTACATAAACAGAATGGAATAAAAATGTTAAAATATGCCTCTGATGTGTATATGTATGCATTTTTCTTTAAAATTTGTTGAGAATAAGCATTGAGACAAATTACTAATAACGGATATGGAGGATATCGAACACCTACTTAAACCGATTCGTCAAGACATAGTTTATAAACGAAGGTGGTGGCTTTTATTAGCTTTTGCTATAAGTGGTTTTACACAGAACATTGTCTGGAATACATGGGGCCCAATAGCACAGTCTGCAAAGGAGGTATTCGGATGGAGCGATGGAAAAATTGGAATGTTTCCGAATTTGGGCAATATTGCTTTTATTTTTACTGTGTTCTTGGCTAGTTACTTCATGGACGAAAAAGGTACACAAAATAATTTATATTTGATTATTTTCAAGTCAAATTACAAGCCAGTACAACTGTCTCGACTTTCATTGGCAATGTACATTTACGTTAATAAATAGTAAAATATTCCGCTGTGGTAGAACACATACAGTACCTATTTCGAGAACCTAGCCAATAAATTTAATGACCTTATAAATGGGACCAGAACTACAAATATGCGTTGTTAAAAATATAACAAACAGGAAGTGTCAAATTAATATTTTTTGTGCAAAATTTGTTTGCATACATAACATTTTAACGAATATTAAATTACCATAATGGTTGTACTTGAAATAACTAGGTGATCACTTACAAAGTTTCAATATTATTTCATTTCTTTTTATTACATGTCCGTTTAAAAGCTGACCTCTTGTTGAACCTTAATGGTCAAGTACTTTTGTATAACATCCCTTAGGCTATTGCTCATTCCGAACTTTAAGTGTGTATTGATTTCATGTCCTTTAAAAGTTACGTCATTCTCCTAAAATATAGATTAAAACAAGTCTGCATTCATATATCATGTGTATATGAATTAAAAATTCATATTAACGTTTTGCATAACTATTTATATGATAATAAACTAATAAAAATCATAAAAAAAATCTAATTAAAGGGAATTTTGTTAGATATATAGCAAATAAGTCTCAATCAACTTTTATCAATATGCTCATCATAAATACCAGGCTTAAAAATATTTACGGTAAACGCGGGTTTCGTCTACAAAAGACTCATCAGTGACGCTCGAATCAAAAAAGTTTATACTGTCAAATAAAGCACGAAGTTGAAGCGCACTGAGGACTTAAAAATTCCAAACATATACACAGACACGATTAGAACAGATTGAAATTTGGACAAATATACCTTTTACAATGAAGATTACTTTATTTGGTAAATTGCAAAAACTGGCAATGTAGAAAATACACATTTTTTTTTTAATTTTACATTATATTTATGATACAAGATGTTTCATAAAAAAAAACTGCAAATGCCATCAGTAAAACAGATCGAAGATGACATTGAGAATATTATGCTTTAAAAAACGAAAATATATGTCATATTTACAAAGAATGGCATTTTTTTAATCAATACTTGAAGTACTGTGACTGCTATGAATGTGGGCTGAAAAAAATTCTTATCCCTTTAACATCGATGTTTGCTACTTCTCTGCCAACAATTAATAAGCACATTGCAAGTAGGAGTTGGAGCAAAGAATGGTTGGCACTACACTAACTCAAAACTAACGTGGCAATGTAGGCTCGCTCAATCTCTCTGGTTGTTTGTCTTTCCGTCGTCTTATTACCATAGTATTTTCTTTCTTGTTTTCTTCGTCCAAAATATCAATTGTCTCCTTATTATATCCAGTCTCTGTTTACATGGGGTAAAAGAACATTAAACACAACTTGTTTATCTTAGTTAATATACCCGGTATTTTACCGTTGTTTAGACTTGCTTTATATACCTGGTTTTGGAATATTTTTCATCTTACCTCCTTTTCATTTCTAGGAATATCATGTGTTAAAAGCAAACTCGTGGAGAACCTGTATATTTAATACGGGGTTAGTGGGTGTGTTTTATTTTAATACACGGTTAGTAGCAGTGTTACGTCCCTTTATAAAACAACATGACGTTGAAGAAAAATCTGAAACGTTTCGCCCAAAACAACAGATGAAAAAATTGATGAGGAACGACTGAAACTAAATGCAGAAAACGCATTAAAGTTAACAAGTTGATATTGTTGGCTTTTGTTTTTGTATAAACCAATGGAAGTATAGGTTCTTAATATTGAAGACTTGATCACTTTGATAGGCAACTAATTATATAGTCTAAATGCTAAACGTTAAAATAGTCTGTCGTTTGTTGATGTTGTTCATAAGTGTTTCTCGTTTTTTATATAGATTAGACCGTTGGTTTTCCTGTTTGAATGGTTTTACACTAGTAATTTTTGGGGTTCTTTATAGCTTGCTGTTCGGTGTGAGCCAAGGCTCCGTATTGAAGGCCGTACTTTGACCTATAATGGTTTACTTTTACAAATTGTGACGTAGATGGAGAGTTGTCTCATTGGCCCTCATACCACATCTTCTTATATCTATGTAAGATAAATTCGTTACACAGTGTGCTAGTGACCTAATACGATATGTATGGGGTCAGTAAATTTCATATGGAATTTACTGTGCCCTTATATATCGTATTAGATCAATACCACACTGTGTAACTAATATTTTATCGTCGAATGCTGTTCAAATTTTATAAGATTGGAAATATTTCGTCTCTTTTTTTTATCTTTCTGTTTTGTGTTAAAAGCTGCTTCATCTAAATGTCTTTGTATAAATATCGGGGGAATGAGTATTACATATTTGTTGTTAAATATCTGGCAATTAATCTATATAATAATAAGAAGATGTGTTATGATTGCCAATGATAAAACTCTCCGCCAGATACCAAATGACGTAGAAGGTTAGTGTAGCCAACCTGTTAATTTCGTTTTCTTACGGACACAAGTCTGTACAAAACACACCGTAGTCACGCGCAATATGGCGTTACTCAACTGAGACCACGGTCGTTTAACATCAAATGGTAAGAGTGATAAAAAAATAACAAATAAAATCGCTAGTGTACAGCAGCTTACATTTTTAAGTTCTGTATTATTGATGTTTTCCTCCAAAAAAAGTGAATGCTAAGGAATATTATAAGCTACCTTATTTTACTGTTTTATTTCGTGAATGTGATTCCCTTTTCAGGTTTAAGAATCTCCGTCATTATTTGTGATGCCCTGGTTCTTTTGGCCGCAGGATTGAGATGCATTACAAGCATCCCGAAGTACGCCTCATGGTAAGAATATATTTACCTCATCTTCGAGATTGTTATTTTTGTTATTTCCTTTTTTTTTCATTTAAATTAGTTCATGGGGTAGGAAGCAGATCGATAATCAATGGAAGACATGTGAAAACTAGCATTTCGTTTTTACTATCTTAGGTTGTAAGCAGATGTTTTATAACAGATGGGGAAAAACGTTTATATTTCAGAGTTTTCTGATTATCGAACTCATCCAATGAGTTTTGATAAATGGAAACCTTACAAAATTTCAAGAAAACTTCATAAGAACTGTTGGCGCTATCCTAGAAACATTAATCAATATTGTAGATTTGAAATCCCTCTGACAATTAATTAAGTCTCCCAAACGAAGTTTGGGATGACTTATTGTTTTTGCTCAGTTCTTATTATTATTATTATTATTATTCTTCTTCTTCCTCTTCCTCTTCCTCTTCCACCGCTTTTAAATTTGAACTTGTCCGCACCCGTTCTCCAAAACCGCTTGTCAGATTAACTTAGGGTTTCACAATATGTTAGACTAACATGTCTAGTTGTGCAATCAGAGTTTTGTTTGTGCAATGGGCTATATAAAGGGGTACTTTGAGGGACAAAAAGAAAGGAGGGTTTTACTATAGAACCCTATGGGATTTTATTTTTTTTAATTTTCAAATGATTATAATTTGAAAACCGTTTGTGATAGACACAATCTTTTTAATTGAAAATGTTCTAAATGATAAAGCACATTAAATGAAATACAGGGTTAGTCCCCAGGGGTCACCCCCACCCCCTGCCATTTAAGAAAGTTCTAATACCTCGTAAGTGGTCAAGATCCCCACCCCTAAACCATATATATTCTGGTTTGTCATGCTAAGATGGTTTGAATGATATACAGGGTTAGTCCCCAGGGGTCATCCCGACCCCCTGCCATTTGAGAAAGTTCTAATATCTTGTAAATGGTCGAGATCCCCACCCCTAAACCATATATATTCTGGTTTGTCATGTTGAAGCACAACAAATGAAATACAGGGTTAGTCCCTAGGGGTCACCCCCACCCCCTGCCATTTAAGAAAGTTCTTATATCTTGTAAATGGTCAAGATCCCCACCCCTAAACCATATATATTCTGGTTTGTCATGCTAAGATGGTTTGAATGATATACAGGGTTAGTCCCAATGGTCATCCCGACCCCCTGCCATTTGAGAAAGTTCTAATATCTTGTAAATGGTCCTGATCCCCACCCCTAAACCATATATTCTGGTTTGTCATGATAAAACACATCAAATGAAATACAGGGTTAGTCCCGAGGGGTCACCCCCACCCCCTACCATTTAAGAAAGTTCTAATATCTTGTAAGTGGTCAAGACCCCCACCCCTAAACCATATATATTCTGGTTTGTCATGCGAAGATGGTTTGAATGATATACAGGGTTAGTCCCCAGGGGTCATCCCGACCCCCTGCCATTTAAGAAAGTTCTAATATCTTGTAAATGGTCGAGATCCCCACCACTAAACCATACATATTCCTGTTCATCATGTCTCGAACATTTGAATGACTTATAGGGTTAGGCCCCAGGGGTTCCCCCATCCCCAATGTTCTAGTATCTTGTAAATGGTCGAGATCCCCACCCCTAAACCATACATATTCCTGTTCGTCATGTCTCGAACATTTGAATGACGTATAGGGTTAGGCCCCAGGGGTTCCCCCACCCCCAATGTTCTAGTATCTTGTAAATGGTCGAGATCCCCACCCCTAAACCATATATATTCTGGTTTGTCATGCCAAGATGATTTGAATGATATACAGGGTTAGTCCCCAGGCATCACTAATGCATATAACTTTACTAGACCAAACCAATTTTCACTGGACTTTGCCCAATGTCAGGCGACCCTGGGAATAACGAATTATGGGAGCTTTGTTTGGGAGACTTCGTAACAGCATCCTGTTACAATCATTTCTTGTTTCTAATGTGTTAATGACATTATAAGATCAAATTTTGTGTATTGCTTTAATCGTGGAACTGATTATGAAATTTGCGAATTTATTCGGAAACAAATTCACTCACTTAAATCATAGGTTATAGTTTCTCATGTACAATTTGTCATTATATACTAGGTTGATATATTTGTCAGCGGTACTGAATGGCATAGCTGGGACTGCGTTGTTTGCAGGACCTTCGCTGTTGGCTTCCATTTGGTTCCCGCCAAATCAGAGAGCTACAGCAACTGCCATTTCCGCGTTCATGGGATACGCAGGATTTGCAGTATCCTTCTCAATCGGTAAATAGTCACAGTTTTATAGTACTTTGTTTCTTTGAATTTGTTCATTTACGTAATTTGGTACAGTGTCTTACTGTGGTAATAAAAGAGGATTAGAAAGAAATGTATCTGTTTTAACACAACATGCTATTTTTCGGTAACTATATATGTATTAAAGAAGATGTTAAAGTGTGGTTCCTCTTAAAAATGTTGACAAATATCCTGCGGAAAACTGAAATCAACTTAAAGTCCACAATAACAAAACATAGAAACTGTGCACTATGGTGTATTCTGCAAAATGCCTTTGTTTTGCGATCAAGAAAAAAGAAAGCATAAGCGAAATATTTTAAAGAACTCGGTGTACTGTAAAAAGTTGAACTTGAATCATGGCTCAAATTGTGTACGAAATTTTGACCAATAGTATTAATATTTTATGAAACAGACAGTGTTTTATTGAAATAAAGAAAATGTTGAAATTTTATATGACCTTAGAAGGCATGGTATCCCATTCAAAAATACTTGTTTTTTTTTAAACTGTTCTTACATGGTTGAAAATTTTGAATGTTTTACATTAGGTAAGATTTATGTTTTTTTTTTACGGATAAAACTTTAAACAAATCTTACAGTGTACACAAAATATTGTGTTCGAATTTTCGAGTAACCCCTGGAGTCATGGTTTCCCCTAAGGGAGGGGGGATTTAAATCAATGAACTTTATTTTAATAAAAAGATATGAATTTGAATATTTGGAGTGTTTATATTAGCCATCCGGTTGGGATTTTCAGTTAGAGTGTGGGTATATTAGAACCTGCAAAAAGGATGAAAGTTATAAAATTGGAAAAATGTGTCTTTTTAATAAATTTCTCAAATGTGTTAATTTTAAAATACAACACTTTGGGGTGACATACCACCAATTCAAAGCCCAAATAAAATCAACCAAATTTTCAAATTTAACTGGTATTTTACCTTTTTTCAACCGGGTATATCCTGAATTGTACAATATCGCCTTTTTATATGCCAATTTTCAACCCATGTTAAAAGTCTTGTAGTGACAAAAAAGACGTTTTGCAAGTCACCTACTACTACAACAAAAACACTCAGGAAACATTCATTAAGAATACTGTACTATGTAGCAATCTACTCTAAAACTGTCATGCAATTTCATGGACAAGTAATTTGGAGCTCAAAAATGTTCCAAATATATAGTTTCATTCATGTATACTTATTCATACTTATTAGTTAGATTTAGTAAATGACAACATCAAAGGCACTGTGTTTTGTCGGAGTAGGGTTATTTTTAAATATGTTTTCAATGCTGATTTGTTGAATTGTTTGTTTGACACCTTTAATATGTCATACATGTACTAAATTTCATGTCCATAGCTCGACTACGCTTCAAATTGCCACTTACGCCATTTGTATTATATTTAACAGATCTACTACTGCCATATGTTCCAAAATACAACCCTGTAAATAAGTCAAAAAGTCGCCAACTTGTCTCTTTTCAAAAATACTACTCCATGTTATCTGTCTTTGAAGTGTAGAGCTGCGGCTCTCTGCTCCAACGCAACAAACATGTGATTTTTCTTCTTGGGTATAATGATCTATAATTGCAGGTCCACAGCTGGTGTCGGCTCCAAAATACAAGACAGTAGTAACACGAGATTTAAGGTAATAATAAGAACAATAATCTGCCTGATAGATCTTGACCTAATGGTCAAAGAAATGTATTATAAGTTTAACTCTGTATCTTGAACAAATTTTACCCGACAGTTATCTTATATCAAAACACGAAGCAAATCAGCATTGACTGTCAATATTATGGATCGTATTATTTAGAAGTTAGATATATAATGGTTTCTTTTGGTAAAATGAGATTGGATTGACAACACACTAGTATCTTGAATGCTTGGGAACGAACAAATACGTCTTTCAAATTTAATGGAAAACCTGTGTATTAGGGGAAGACAATCCTTGTAAGATGGTTGTGAAATCGAACCTCTTGCCAAACTGTTTCCGATTGGGTTTGAAAATAGTTTTTATTTGTTGTTTATAATAGAAACAATGTACAAGTCTAGAGAAAACAACAAAACAGCAAACTTCATAGGAATTGGATGAGCTGGAAATGACATTGCTAAACAAACTTGATTATACAAGTGTAAAGATTTGAAAGACATTCATTTCGGCATAACTAATGGCCAGTGTCGATGCAATCTAAAAATTCTTTTTTTTTTTCATTTTAAAAAAGACCGTCAAAATATATTATGTAATAAATAACACAAAATCAATATAAAATCGGTTTATAGGAAGCTTATATGAAAGTTTACATGGAATCGTCTGCCAATCTCAAACATCAGGCCATGTGCGCAGGATGAATAACGTCTAATCAGAATTGGAACTTTAAATTCGAAGCCTCGTGTAGAGAGAGTGCCACGCTCTCTGCACGTTTTGAGCCCTTGCAACAGGGTCCATAGGTGGCCTGTTGGAAGGCTCAAATTTCTGTCCCTATCGTATATACCATAATTTTCCAGTGACATTCCAAATCTCCCAACCTTCATCCCAGTCTATCCCCTGTTACAGGACATGCATGATATGTTTGCCACTGGACTATAAGCATTCAACTATCAACAATCAAACAAGATAACCGTTAAACTTTCGAAGTGATGGCTTGAACCATTACGAACCTTGCAGTTCAATAGCTTCCTTGTAAGCAACGAATCATTAGTGGAAACGCAAGCACGTGAATATGGTATCAACTGAGAGGTATATTTTTAAGATATAAGAAAGTTTACTTTGAGTGCTCTCGAATAAGTTGTTGGTGTAGAATGGGAATTCACATGTTTTAAGTGTTTATTGGTTTTATGTTAAATTTTAAAAATGTTGTTAATTAAATGAAATTGTGAAAAAGTAATCTGTCTATCCTTTGTATCTTGCTACCTGTTATAAATGCTCATCCAAATAAATAACAGAAAACGTATAATGCATTAAGAATAACACAACAAGAAAACACCACTTACATTGAAGAAAGAGACGGAATATACCAAACGGACAATCAAAATTCATAAGTCGAAGAGAGCCCGACAAAACCTTGGCAAAAAACAAATATCGACAAAAAGACAAACTTTAGTCTTCAATACACATAAAAACTAAATAGTGAGTAAAGCACCCAATCAAAAGACGGGGTTCTTGAGTGCTTTGGAAGGCTAAACAAATTAATCGTTATCCACATTAGGCCCTCTTTATATTGCTCATGGTAAGCAAATAATCGGTGAAAAGTCTCATTAGCTGATATCACAAACGAGGAAAAGGGGACAAATTAAGCAAAAAGAGAAGCACAGTTGATTTTCATATGAATTCCGATTTTTCTGTTGACATCAAAAGATTACCATCATAGTCTTGATAGTGATTTGATTACATAAATTATATACTTGTTATTACTATACAAAATCTCATAAAGTAGGTCAGCAAAACTTTCTTTCTTTTATTTTTAGTGGAAACTCTTTCAATTTTGATAATGGAATAACCACAACTGCGGCAAATATATCTCATAATCATACAGGTATGAAAGTAAAGACAAAAATAAAGCTTCAAAATATATTAAGATATTCCAAATATGGATATTTTATTATGTTAAAAGTAAAATGATAATGATATTAGTTACCTGTTACCTGGCATTCATTTGACAGTTTGTGCCGGTGATAACATGGGATCTAGATTCCCGTCTTAATTTTATCGTTGGGCTCCAGTTTCGATTATTTGGTCTCCAAATGTACTGAGACCTGTGTTAATATCCCATCTTTAAATGTGACACCAATACAAATAAGCATTGAAAATATAAATCTGAGGACAAATATTTTTCCTTTTCAACAAAAGGAATCTTCATTGTGTTTTCGTCGTCCTGAATGTGTACGAAATATTAACCACTCTAGACGTTAAGCAAACAATCATTTAATTGCACAGTATCTATTTGGAGTTCTACCTTAAAAGAAAGGGGTTAAATCTTATTGGAAGACGATGAAATAAAAAAAAATAATGTACATTTTTGGTTAACATGTAGTTTGGTTTTTTTTTTTCAACTATATTGAATGTCGTTCGGTGACAAATATGAACGCTTATAGGTTTTATTAAATCTAAAATTTAAGACAATTGAGTAAGACTGTTAATATTGATTGATTGATTGATTGGTTTTGTGTTTGGTTTATAAATGCAAATAAATTCAGTATGAGAACAACAGTGATGTGCAATGTATTGTAAATCGCAAAAGTGTTGTTTGATTTTGACTTCCAGTTAAAATAAAGAATTAAGTAGGTATTAATATGATGTAATCTTACAGGAGGTCACGAGATGACCCGTTACAATAATTGTTGCTCGGGTTTTTTAACGTGGAAAGAGCATTTTCCTTTCCGAACGCACCATAGATATAACGTCTCATATAAAACTGGACGTGATTTCGTATTCATGCATCCTTCGTTGTCAAAAAGTATAACAAAAATACCGAACTCCAAGGTAAATTCAAAAAGGGAAGGGAAAGTCAATAAAGACTGACAAAATCAAAAACGTTGGACTTTATCAACCAACGGAACGAATGAAAACAACTGTCATATTCCAGACTTGGTACAGGCATTTTCCGAAACCTGGTTTTATAGCTAGCTAAACCTCCCACTTGTATGGACAGCGATTTGGCCAAGGTCTTAATGTGTGACGTTGCAAGTCAAGGTAACAAGGTCTCTACAAAGGAGTTACCAATTCGTTTACAAAAATATTTTTGAAGATGTATGCTATAAGAATTATTGTTGGTTTCTGAACGTCCGAAAGTAAATATGTATGTTAAATCGCGACAGGTACATACCTTGGTAGGATGTAGATGACCTGAGAATGTAAAAACGGAAAACAAAATCAAGGGGCAATAAAACCATAAGTTGAAGATCGATAGTCAGGATCACAAGTCAAAAAGACATCCAACAGTTCACAGAAAAACAAAGATTGAGAAGCACACATGTCTCCTAAAATCTGGGTTAACTCGTGTGATCCGAAGAGATTAGCAGTTTCTGTTCACAAAAAAAACCTGCCTATTCTCAATTACGTTTCATTGATTGATTGTTGGTTGCTTAACGTCTAGTAGCAAATATTTCATGCATTTTCAGGACAAGAACAAATTAATAATAAATACAATGGGTAAGTCTTGTAATAGAGGCCGTCTGGGATGAAAGTCGGACTACCACTGAAAAATGAGGGTCGGAAGAAGACCTAAGTTACAATATTTCTATTCCTCTTTTGGGGTCTCAAATTGGACTACAGAACCAGGCTATTTTGGGCATGGTCCGTAAAATTAACTACCAACATTCGCACACAAATCTCTTTGAAAAGTTGTTTAAGGTCCACTGTCAGATAATTGGTCGAGAGTTTATGTGTTATGTGTAATCATTTTATCCTCCCGCGAATGAGTTTCCGAGGATAGAATCACTCTCTTTACCAGTCTGTGCATGTCGCGTTTAGTTCAAAACTTGACTTTCTTTGAAGGTCATTAAGTATAGTTGGTGTAATGTTGCCCACTAGAAGAGTCTGTCTCTTGTCAATGCCAACAATTATTCAAAACATTGAGATAAATGATAGGGGTGGGGTCATCAGTTAATTACTTTTGTTTGCAAAACCTCTAGTTTATTTTAAACTTCAAGTTTTATAAAATTGTTTTTCCAATTTGTTTGTACAACATTGAGTTTCTACCATGTCCTTATAACATCATGTATAAACAGAGTAAATCTGGTATCAATGCACAGTGCAATTTTATTTTATTTTAACATATATCATTTATTTTTTACCTTAACCCAACAAAAAAAAATGAAGGTAAAAATATATATTTTAAGTCTGAAACAAAATTTCATAAAAACAGACTGCCTGGTGATATTTTAATCTTTTTTTTTTGCAGTGCTGTTAAATTTTGAGCAATTGAAAGACGACATCATGCGATTAATGTATTATGGTAAGTGTCCGATACAAAGAGAACGAGAAAACGGATGATTATTAACAACACAGACGGTTAACTTCGAAAAAAATCGATTGGACAGTAAATATCATGATTCGTCAGAGGTCTCAATTTTTTAACCGTTACCGTTATTATTGGAAAACAATGTACCGTGGTTTGTCAAAATCAGTTGATTTTTTTAATCGTCATGGAGAAATGAAATCTTGATATTTTCCAAGTCCATACTACTACCTACGTAATAATACTACCAAATAAGGTATATCAACTTTATCAACGTTGCTCAGATTTATTTGTAAGTAAGGACTGTTTACCGTTGTTTGCCTTTTCTTCGATTTTCTTTTGGCCATGGTGGAGTCCTTCGACTACCGTGTTTTGATTGCCCCAGTGGTACCGACTCCTGTTTGTTTTAAATGTTTCATTGTGGATATATTAAATTAGAAGTGAATTCGAATACTTCAAATTGTAATAGACCATCCTTAACTTGTTTCCTTTGAACATTCTTATGCACTCAGAGTGTCTTTTAAAGTACACGGATGAATGTGAATCAACTTTAGATTTAAATCACTACAAAACTTTCTCAAACGATGAAAAGTTTTGATATTTCTTTTGAAATAAATTTGTTATGTGTTATCAAATAAAATTATGTTTTTGATATTTAAAGCACAAGGATATTCGTTGATCCGAATCTCAAGCAAACGCACACCATTTATAAAGATGCATTTTCGTTAGGAATAAATTATGATCGCATTATTGACTACATGTTGATCAGCATATAATGAAAGAAATAAACACTGTCTTGATATTTGCCAAACCTGTTTCGTCCTTCCTTGTCGGCAATGCAAGTATCACTGTCATCTTTACAGCAAAATTGAATAATGTTATTTCATGTGACAGTGTTTAAATCTCAGGTGGGGGAGGAGGGTAGGAAATTCACTTTCCAAGAATTCACACAAATTGAAACGCGGTACAGGAATTTCTCATTGTTTAGTGTCAATCAAAAATTCTCATCTATCAACGTTATTGGTTCTTGTCCTGATTAGGAATGAACTGTTTGCCATTTGAAGCTGAACAAACAACAGTTACAACAATTAATCCATCTAATGTAAAATAAAGTGATATGTTTGGTATTTGAATGTAAGTAACAAGGAACGTTACCATGAAATTCGCCAACACAAAAAACAAAAACATTATAGAGGTAAACATTCGGTCTTCATCTATAGACAACTGCCTACCTTTAAATATATCCGAGTATAGACTAGTTATGACAGGTTTTGATAAACTATCAGAGCCCACCAAAGTTCAACCAACAAAACAGCTACTTACGAAGTGACAGATGGTCACTTGGTCTTAAACATTCCAGTGTTTTCCAATCACAAAAAAATGACAATAATAACATAAAAAGACCTAATAGTTTTATGATTGTATAAAGATATTTTTAATATTTGAATAATTCTGTTTTAGAATGTGGATTAGCAGCTGTAGTATTTATTGCCGTCCTAATATATTTTCCTGATAAACCTCCTTCGGCACCAAGCTACACAGCATCAGTCAAAAGAGTCGACTATTTAAATGCTATCTGTAAATTATTAACGTAAGTATAGTTTCGATTATTTTACAAATATGATAAGATGAGATAAATTGTTTTATTTACAATAGTGGACCCATTATGCGTATAATCAGTACAGTGATCTTTTATATTAAACAATTACAAACATGAAATATATATTTCATGTTTGTAAATGTTTAATATAAAAAAATCATTATACTGATTATGCCCATAATGGGTCCTCTATTGGAAATAAAATTTAATAATATAGCCATATAAACCATAATTTTAGTGTTTGTTGACCATGCACCAGAAGCAGCATCCCATCCATTCTGAAATAAGCTTTTATGAGTTAAGTCCTCCTCGTGACTGATGCATATGAGAAAAATATAATAGTTGTCCAAATGCAGGAGTCACCAATGGCAGATGCTCGAAGGACACTCGAGCAAATACATAGATATGAATATTTAAACACTTTACAATACATTGCACAAGTCATGTCTTCTTTGACTGTCCATGACGTTAAAACACTAAATCCCTGGGATGTGATTTTAGTCTCTGATGCATGATTTTTTATTATTAATTGTTTTTGGCTTTTAACTAGCTTTCAGTAACTGCGAGTACTCTCAAATCGTACTTTCGTGTTAATTTGACCTGTTGATACAATTTGTAATGTATTTTTGTTATTTAATGTTAACTTATTCAGTGTTATATCTAGTCTCATTATTTTTAATATATACCACCTTTGATAAGTGTTTAGTATGACGATAAATTTTCACTTTTGTTCTCGTACTAATAACAACAAAATTATTTATTTTGTAAAAATTATTTCCGTACTCCATGTATACCTTACAACAAAATTATTTTTATTTACCTGTGTACGTTATTTTATATGGCGGCATTTTGTCCAAGGTTATGGTTGTCTTTCTGATATTGTTTTACATCTATCCCCCTTGTTTTATTAATTTTGTGTTTACATTGTGTCATAGATCAAATTTATTCGGTCAGTGTGTGTTCACTTGTTTTTGTTAATATGTCTTTTGATTGAGTTAAGCCATTTCAATTGATATTTTATAGTGTGTCTTTCTATGTTGTGATGTTACACTATTGTTTCGGGTAGGGTGAAGGTTGGCGCCTATTAAAACGTCTAAACCCGCTGCATTTGTTTGCACATGTCCTAAGTCAGGAACCTGATGTTCAGTGGTTGTCGTTTGTCGATGTGGTTCATAAGTGTTTCTCGTTTCCCGGTTTTTATATAGATTAGACCGTTGGTTTTCCTGTTTGAATGGTTTTACACTAGTCATTTTTGGGGCCCTTTATAGCTTGCTGTTCGGTGTGAGCCAAGGCTCCGTGTTGAAGGCCGTACTTTGACCTACATTGGTTTACTTTTACAAATTGTGACTTGTATGGAGAGTTGTCTCATTGGCACTCATACCACATCTTCTTATATCTATAAACTAATATTCAAAAAATCATTATCTAGTCCTCCTCGTGGCTGATGCACATGGACAAGAATACTAAGCAGTTATCCAAATGCAGGGGTCACCAAGGGCAGGTGCTGAAAGGACATTGTAATATGAAATGTAAAAATTAAGTGCAAAAACTATTTGGATTTGGATGCAGACCCTATCATAGCTTGACCCAATGCTTTGAGAGAAAAAAATCACAAACATAAACACAAAATTACAGACAATGGTATAAATCATTTGGCGAGTATTTTTCATGATTTGTTTTATGAAAGCACCCGTTTCGTACAACAATTTAGTAAAATGGCTGTGTAGGAAAACATATATGAAACGTATCCATATGATAATAATTATTGCGTAAAAATATGAATGATAAAGTCCCACAACTCGAACGATTAACCATAAAATTTACAATTCCAAAGCGAGTCTAGATTCACCAATACCAAAAAAGTGTAAATATGTTAAATTGATCCAATCATACTACAGCTAGTGCATGACACTTTTATATTTTGTGGGATTTGGTTAAAGCAAATTTGAGTTATTGTAGGAAGTGTTCATGGAAAAACTCAAGCTCCCATCTATGACGGGCTTATAATACCACACTTATGAGTATATGCACAAAGTTTTCTATACTTAAACAATCACATAGACAACATCTTACTTAAAAGTATGATACAGCGAAGCACTCCAAAGCTTTTTAGAAAGCTAAAACTTGTGTTATTATCTTTATGCATGATTTGCTCGGTGTATACATATTTTAATAATATTATAGAAAAAAGATCCAACACCTATTTCCAAAAAATCAATTTGATATCATTGTGAATAACAGTATCATATGTTTTCTGAAAATCAACAAAGCAGTCATACAGTCTTCCATTACCAGAATTACAATACTTATCAATAATGGTTTTTAAAACAAACATATAGTCAAAAGTTCTTGCTTTATTTTTTAACCCAATTGACACTCAACTATAATATTGATTTTAATTAAAGATTTATCAAGACGTGTATTTAAAACATAATTAAATAATATGAGTAAATGGAAATGTGGTTGTATACCTTAATTAGACAGGAACCCAACGACATAAAGATATGATTTGATAGCGGTCTCCAAAAAGGGGCGGATCTCGGATTTGAGGTTATGAAGGCATCCTAACTAATTTTGTTAACGTTTTTTATGCCAAAATATTTTTTTCTTTTTAGAGGGTGCACGGCCGCTTCACCCCCGCCCGAATCCTTACTGGCAAACCTTTTGTGTAATCCATAAGGAGGTCACATTCAACATAAAAGGCTAGATCTTTTTATTTTTATATTTCCTGCAGGGTTTGTTACTCGTGCTGTGTGGATGCAGTAGAATGTGTCCCCGTGTATGTAGTGTATGCCCTTTTATTTTACAGTTAGGGTTTTTTTGCTTGTGAGAGAGCTGTCTTCCTATTCCATTATATTAAGTCAGTTGGTCTCTTGTGGAGAGTTGTCTCATTGGCAATCATACCACATCTTCTTATTTTTATATTTACTGCAGGGTTTGTTACTCGTGATGTGTGGATGCAGTAGAATGTGTCCCCGTTCTTGTAGTGTATGCCCTTATATTTTACGGTTAGGGTTTTTTTGCTTTTGAGAGAGCTGTCTACATATTCCTTTATATCAAGTCATTTGGTCTCTTGTAGAGAGTTGTCTCGTTGGCAATCATACCACATCTTCTTATTTTTATAGATGCTCTCGTTCGACTAATTTTGCATAAACTTGGGCTTATAACGATACACGAACTTGATTTTATGAATGTGAATGTATGAGTGTTTGTCTTGTATCCTAATCGAAAACTGAGATATAAAATCTGTTTTTAATTTTTATACTACAGTAATGGTCCTTTGTGGTTAATCTCATTAGCTTGTGCAATACCAACGGGTGTGTTTGGAGCATGGGGTGCTGTACTGGATTTAATACTCAACCCTGTAGGAATTTCTCAGGTAAGTGGTAAAAATATAACCTATGTACAAACCTTTGTGAAAGTCAAACTTTTCCATTTAGTAAAGTAAACTAGAATCCAACGTGGAATACGGGAGAAGGGTATTTGAGTAACATTACTTCTTTAACTTAATTTTGATTCGACTTATACACGTTGTAACAAAACTGATATATAATAGCTATGAAGATTTTCTTTTGAATATAATTATTTTTTGTAGATGGAAGCAGGTTGGATAGGGTTTTACGCCACAATAGCAGGAGGTATATCTTGTGTTTTTGTAGCAAGGTAAGATAACCGAAGGTTTGGTAAAACATAACCCAGATGGACATTTTACTCCTCACACTCCTCTCCAATAAAGAAAATCAATTAAATTTGGTTGGGCAGAAGTTAGAAACAAGATATGGCAAAAAGTATTAATAGGATATGAAGGACATACTTGACTGAGACAGCCACCCAACAAAATTTAAAAAAATGATAACATCTAGGGATCAACCTCCGTTTAACAATAGATGAATAACTAAAAAAAGTTGTGAATAAATTTTACAGAGTTGATTGGAAATCTGAATTTTCTGGAAGCAAAATAGCTTTCATCACACTAAAGATCAACATTAAGGTGGTTCTTGTCTTTAATCATGCATCATATGAATATTCAGAAAGGTAAACAAGTTTGGTTTGGCAGTCAGGAATTCTCTTTCTACTTGCTATTTTTTGAATTACTAACGGAACATAATAGATCATATAATAAAAAAAACAGTTCAGGGGAAACATTTAATTGTATTATACTATAATACTATCATAAAAATAATGATAATAAACAAAAATAAAAACATTAGTAAAAAATATGTAAGATCGTATCGAATCAGTTTGTCATCGACTGATGAGTTTGTATATCCCTTTTGTATATTCCGCCTCTCTTTTAATGTTAGTTTTTTTTTTTAAAACCTGCAAATACAGAAATCAAAGTATGTCTATTCGATTCTTCAGACATCGGTATTTTTTAACATGCACCTTTGATTTCATGGAGGAAAAGGGAAGATGAATATCTCTCGCCTAAACGTTACAAAAATCATTACAAAGAATATAATATATAGGCTGGTCGTCAAGTTGTTTGACTAGTAAACATCTTTCTCAAGTTCTTACCACCATTCTTTCTACCGTAAAAGATGGCCTTTAGAAATAATTTCATGAGGTATATTCAACCAGCAGTGGTATCAAACAGATGTAGATTCTAAAACATTCTAAAGATTTACTACAAAATCTTTAATCACAATCTTTACAATTTTGCAGTAATATCAAACCTTTTGATTTGTTTACGCCAGAGCTTTTTCAACAAAAGTACTTAGATACACATTTCTTGTGTTAGGTTATGAAAAATCTTATTTTGAGAAAAACAACACTGTCATTGTTTCAAACAACAAATACACGAATGGTGATATCATCAAAATGCTGGACACTTTTTATTGAGATTGGTGGATTTATATTCAACAGACAGTCGATATTCCAATTGGCAATACCTGTGCACTCCTATTGGCCGACTTGTTTTTTGTTTGTACTCGTGTGAAGCAGAATTTAAACAGAACCTTCTCAATGACAAAAAAAGCGTCTTGTAAAGTTCTTTGATTTCAGTTTCAGAAATATTAATGATATCCTGTCACTTATAACCCACGTTTTAGTGAGTACTTGCATTTCCTATATCTCAGTGAACTTAGTATTAAGGATACTACCGAAACTAGAAAGTCTGCATCATATCTTGATCTTTTCTTCGATATTGACACAGATACCGGACAACATTTAAACTAGAATCTATTACATACGTTAAGATTCAACCTTCTTATTGTCAAATTCCCGTTTCTCAGCAGTAACATACCCTCTGTCACTTCCTATATCGTCTACATATATCAATTCATACGATACGCTCATGCATGTTGACTTCATTTAATGGGATGTGCTCTTTATACTAAAAATGTTCCTCCAACATAGCTATGAGAAAGAACGACTGAAATAGACACTTCATACGTTTTACGTTAACCGTCACGAAATGGTTGACTGATATATATGTGATGTGTATGCATCTCAACTCAATAGCAGCATGTTTTCATGGTCTTAGATCTCTAGATACAAGACTAGTCTGTAATGTTACCGATTGTGACATTTGACTGAGTGTGAGTTTGAATGGCGGGTGGTGTATACATAGCACCCGGTTTCGCTTGATTTGGAGTTCCTGCGATTCCATCAGTTTTTATTTGTTACGGAGCCTGGATTTGTCTTTTCTTATTCTATTTACGAGATTATAGAACATCGGTAAACTACTGTTGCATTCATTTATATTTCTAAGATATGTTTTCACGACTGTATATTTACAATGGGATAGGCTGACTGAAAACATTTTTTCTTTTCTTTTTAAGGTTTTCTGATATATTTATGAAACATATGAAGTTATTTCTCATGTGTTTATTTTTGTGTGGAGGATGTGCAATTGTATGGTTTACTCTTATAAGTACCAGAGTATTAACGTTTTCTACAAGTAAGTGTATCATTTTCTGTCGAATACCTTTTTTAAGAAAAGGCAAAATTATGCCACATAAATGTCTTTAAAGGAGGTAAGTAAGTTCTTGTACTTCATTTTGTTTTGTTTTGTCGAATTGTGTAAAAAAAAATGCAAAAGGTATAACAAATCAAATTTTGCTAGAAATCTTCATTCATGGCAAAAATGGATGATCTATTCATCAGATTCAATGACGTCAGAGATCCATGTGACTCAAAGACGTTAGCAACGGACAAACTAATAATTTGATCTGAAACAACACAATATATATACCAGTATATATAATTGTTGGTGAGATGGGGTGTCTGTAAACTTGTTATGGTCACATTATATTAACTTTGTGTGGCCCTTTTCCGATCTGAATATTATATTTACCATTTCTTTTTCTTCATTTCATTTCAGTTCAGTTATACTCCTCTAGTATTCTAGCAGGAATGTTTGTGAATGGTGGTATAGCGTTATTTTATGAACTATGTTCTGAAACGTCATATCCGGTCTCAGAAGGGGTAACTGGAGCCTTTCTAACGACGTTAAACAACGTTAGTGGCACAGTATTACTGTTTGTTCTACAGATACCTGGAATAGGTAAGGAAACAGGAACAAATGAAATGAAAAAAGGCTGTCATGTTTATCAACTAGCATTACTTACCCAATATAATATATGACTGTAAATGAACGTAATATATCAGTGCAGGCGGTGTTGTCACGATATCCCAATAGCATGAGTTCGAATCCCGGCGAGGGAAGAACAAAAATTTGCTTCCGCAAATTTGAAGATTTAACATTGTTGTGCTGATATTTAGAGTAATTATGAATATGATATGTGTTTTCAGTCGTGTATCACCTTCACTGGTGATCCCATGGATGGATCTGTCGTAGAGTTGTCACTTGTTTAGACGTACGTATATACTGAACCAGTGACAACTCTACGACATATTTTATCCATCGGATCACCAATGATGGTGATACAAGGCTGAAAACACATTCTGTATATAGAATTCGTCTAAATAACAGCCCAACAATGTTAGATCTGTAAATTTGCGGAAGCAAATTTTTGTTCTTCCCTGGCCGGGATTCGAACTCATGCTACTGAGATATCGTGGCACCAAATTGCCTTGCACTATGCCCGGCGCGCTAGACCACTCGACCACACATGTATATAAAAACGTCTAAATATGTTACAACTCTACAATTATACTCAATAATGTTAGTTCTGCGTCAGCCAATTTTTGTACTTCGCTCAACAGGATTTGAACATATGCTTCTGTGACATCATGGCAACATTTCCTACAATGTGACCAACCACGTAGACCGCTTGACCAACTAGGCTATATAAATATAGCTTTCGTCAGTCCTCGCGATCGTCAGCTTTACCTTGGTTAATAACACAGTACATGATGTATGGTGGCATTTAGATAGAACATACTATGAGTGATCGCAAATTTTCACATCGATCATTGTTGACGAAATTTAAGACCTAAACCATGTGCTATGTACTTGTCATTATGGTATTAAGTTCGACAATATTTTTTTTGAATAACTGATACTTTATATAGATTTAACTTACGTAAAATATAATATGACGTATCACAAAGAGTACGTTGTAAAAATTGTAGGCACACAATTCCAGAAGGTGATCGTGTATGAGGATATATTATTGACAAATATTAGTTACACGGTGTGTTAGTGACCTAATACGATATATATGGGGTCAGTAAATTTCATGTGGGGTGAGAGCGAAGCTCGAATCCCCATATGGAATTTACTGACCCCATATGTATCGTATTAGGTCACTAGCACACCGTGTAACGAATTTATCTTACCAACTATCTTCACATGTGGTATTTGGACTAGCGGTCTATCAAAGTGATTAAGTCTTCAATACTTAGTATTGAGAATCTACTTCCATTTGTCTATACAAAAACAACTTGTTAGCTTTAAATTTGTTTTATGACTTTATTTCAATCGTTCATTATCAATTTCTTCGTCTGTTGAAACCTTTCAGATTTCTTTTTTGTTTTGAAAGGGAAGTAACTCCTTGCTAACCCCATATGGTAACTTGCCCCATATTTTTAGGACACCATATATCAAATATATGTAAGTCACCACGTGTAGTCCTTTAACCAATCATATCCCCAGAAATCTATAGGAGGTAAGATAAATATAAGTATTCTACCTTATACCAAAATAATAAATAAGACCATGTTGTAGAGACTAAAAGAGAGCGAACTCTTTGTCACAAGAAAGAGTAAAAATAGTAAAAATACAAGAATGAGAGAACCAACACAAGACAAACAAAACTACACAATTAATCCGAGAGACTAGTGTGCACGTACAACAATTTGTCGATACAAGCACAGTTCCATACAGAACGAGAGTGGTATTAGCTGAGGAAGCAAAAAGATGATTCAATGATGCTATCTGGTAACACTATAGATATTGTTGATACATTGTACTCACGCTATCTATTCTGTTCTTAACAGTACAGCTAAGTTTCAAAATGCTTTTGAAATATAAATGTACATAAAAATATTTCTCTAAGTGTGAAACTTCTTTTTGAACATATGATGTTTATCGTTCATCTTGTTTGTATTTCAGGGACATCCTGGGTCAATTGGGCAGTCGTAGGAAGTATAGGTGCTGGGCTTTTCTGTTTAATAATCTTCCCTGAAAGATACGGAAGAACAGATCTGGATATAGCCAGTAGGAATTACACTGATATGGTTATAGATGTACCAGATCTTTCTGTTGACAATCCTACTACAAACCAAGCTGATGTTGGTCATAGTGAATGAATATTAGTAATCAAAACTCTGTTTCCATCTGCTGTTTTTAATCTGTATTGCTCTGTCATAATTACAAAGACTGTAACAAGTACAGGTGTAGACCAGTTTTGCCAACCGATTATGTCAGTCCTGCAATACAATTGAAGATGAGAAACATTTTATTTTGTATTGCAGGAAACACACAACCATTAGATTAGCTCTCATTTAAAAAAAATAATCATGGCAAGGATAATTGTAATGAAATTTTAATAATTTAAAAAAAAATGCAAATATGAAATATAGTCTCTGCCCATCAAACAAAAATTAGTTGAAAGCATATGTTCCGTTATAAAGCATTTGTTAGTACTCAGGGTGGGGACTCGTAATTGAATTATAAACTTTACTAGAAAAAACCCGCGCGGCTTGAAAACTACTTGAAATGTTTATGGTGATACACAGCTTGGGTTCGTGTTTCTCAAACTGTTTTTATGCACTGATGCATTATGTTGATCATAAAATCAATCATGATTAGTAAAGCAGGTGAGACATTCCAGCTTGTGCACTCTTGTTAACACAAGAAAAAGTGTTGATAGCTGTGACTACCATACATGCAGATGTATCTAGGTAAATCTGGAAAAATATGTGATCTATCCTGATACCTCTTGTTTGTATTGGTACAATATTGGTCCTGATAGTTCACACCGTTTGCTTGTAAGCATTTTATTTTTTAAGACAATTTATTTCCATTTTTTGGTGTTGTGAAATTGATTTCACAAAACACAGCTATCATGGTTGAAATCAATATCTTTGTAACACCAACAAATCTGTCTACTCGCCATTTTCAAATTTGGTACATTTTATTGATCTTACAGAGATGAAAACTGCGATATTCAAGGTCTATATGCCCCTCAAATAAAACTTTTAACCAGGAAATTAATAGTTTGTCTTTGACAAAATTTATCAAAGTAAATTTTTCATTTACAAAGGTCAGAGAGATGTGTGAAATATAAAATTAAGAAGATGTGGTAAGATTGCTAATGAGACAACTCTCCACCAGAGACGAAATGACATAGAAGTTACATAGAACTATAGGCCACTGTACGACCTTTAACAATGAGCAAAACTCATACCACATAGTCCGCTATAAAAGGCCCCGAAATGATGTTCTTTTGAATATATTGCACAGAATAAAAGTTTAATTGGTGCTTGCTGAATGTCCACTGGCAAATATTTCAAGCATATTAAGGATGAGAACATATTGATGATAAGTACCATATGAAGGTTAAGTAGGAAGGGCGAGATCAATGGACTGCCACTGGTGAATGAAGGTACAATATATGCTGGATGTGGTCAAAATTCCCCTTTTAACCCTACGAGGCTGTGTATTTATACATCCAACTGTATGAACACCCTGTTTAAGCAAGGGTTTGTCGGATTAGGGAAGTCATATGTCTATAACCATGTTAACCCTACGAGTCCACTTTAAAAAAATTGTCATCTTATTTTCATCATAGACTAATAATTACGTTACTTTGCAGCAGGTTGGTTAAACCAGTGTTCACACATCATTATGAAAATCGCCATTCATATTTTTTTGCTGCAATGACATACTCCACTTTCATTTTTTGAATCAAGAACTTTCCTTATTGGATTCCCATTTCAAAAACGCATGTATAAAAAGTGAGACACATGCAGACAGATTGCCTATATCACCGACTAATATAGCGTCCGTGTGTACTGGGCGAAGTTTTAAAATTACAATCCCAGCTTTTCCTGAACCAAGTAAGAAGTATAAATTTTGCACTGTGAAATTTTGTTTATATATAAAGCATTTAGCTGGTAGTGTTTTAAACTGCCCGGTAGATTGCGGGTGTCCTATGCTAAATCCCGACTGGGGCAAACCAAATATTTAGCGCTTCTCAATAAAGCATGCGGCATTGAGGGATAATAGCATAGACCTGATATATAAGGTGGGAATAATAGGTCCACGTTACTATTGACCACTTTTCATCTATGATCAAAGGTGGAAAACAGCAATTTATTGAAGTGTCGGGTATTTTCTGTTTTAAACAAATAATCAATTTAGTGAAATGTGTTGCTCTAGTTCCGGTAGTCTATTATATTAACACATTCTTATTCAATTCTTAACTTTTTTACGCTGATATTTCTTCTTTTTTAGTGCAAACTTGTTTGGTACATTGATAGATAAAACAGAAATAGAAAATAACAAAATAACAAATAGCAAAATAAATAAAATGGGTCTATGTTATAGGACTATAGATCTGGAAATCATCGAATTGTGATATATGAGAGAATTTGTTAGATATCATCTTTACGCTAACAAATACAATAAAAAATACTTCCAGTTAGAGGACAGTGGTTCTTTTAAAGTGCCTTTTCGTGCCCATGATTTGATAAAGAATATAATTCTGTAAATTAAAATAAAATTATGCCAATACTTGAAAATGAAGATATTTCTAGTGTCATGTACCGGGGGTACGCAACTGCTCTACTCTGGGTTTCGTACCAGAGTCGTTTCTCTGGATACAGTCAAGGCTTAACAACTGGTAGCTTTACTTTATAAACTGAATATTCGGGTACTCTTTATTTAGATGATGGGCGTCAAGATTAAGTAGGCTTTGGGTATAAGACGATAAATGCCAGGGATGATAATTATAATGACGTCCCTGTTTGGTATAAGGCTTTACTTAATATCGAGTCTTTATCTACTTTTGCTTAGCCAGTGCTTTCTAAAAGCAACGGCTTATCAACTATGTACTGAGCCAGTGCTTTACTTGTGGCCACTGCTTAATATCTACTTGGTCTGGACCAGTGCTTTACTTGTGGTAACTGCTTAATATCTACTTGTGGGCCAGTGCTTGTTAAACTATTTGGTCTGAGTCACTACTTTGCTTGTATCCAATGCTTCACCTTGTATACAGCCAATGCTTCTCTCTGAAGTCACTGCTTCTTCAGCAGCTATAATTACTTAAACACTTGGTTCCTTATTCAGGAACACTGCTTATAATTCTTATTCATAATTATACTTAATCTCACCTTTAGTCTGTATCTGTAGTATCCAACTGCTCGTCTTGAATTCTAAACTCAGAACAATGTAAACTGTGAAAACCTTGGTATATATACCAAATTGTAGACTCGTCCATATAATAGACTGGTCCAAAAACGACTTTATCCCTAAAACGTTTTACAACACCTAAGCATATATAAGATTACAAAGCATTATTGTGACGGTTATGTACTTTGTTACAACTGATCGCGGGAATTCCGGATTTGTAGGTCAGTGCCTGACCCCTTAAACAATTACTAATCACCTAGTAAATCTATAAACAAATCGAAAGTGAAAGTAAAACAATTGGTGAATAAATCTAGGGTTTGAATGATATTTCTTTATGTTGGACTTTTCAATTGGATTATAAAATAAGCAAGAAACAGGTAAGTTAACAAATTCATCATATTACCCACGCTCCCAAGAAATGCGTCCCCGCATTTACCTAAATCAATTGAGCACATCTACATCAAGTGGACATTTTCCAGTCCCAAACTCTATCCGGGTATTGCCTCGAGCCATGTCATTCAAAAACCAGAAAGCTGAATATCACAAAACATCTGTTACTTCTTCAGTAACTAACAACTCGTAGATGTGTGATCTACCCGACATGACAAGATTCCCACTCAACTGTATATTATTGTCTTAACATTGGAGGAAACATTTAACATGGGCATCAACTTAAACACATCAACTTTAAGTACCCTTAAGTCGTTTTACATCTGTATTTCAAATATGCATGCTGACAGATTTTTTTAGCAACCAATTTTTAACCATGTAAACCAACAAGCCAAATAGTATATTTGAAAACCACCGAAAACATCACAAAGCCAAAACCGGTATGAAATAATTTTGCCTAACAACCGGCCACTTATGGACCACTCAAAGGGCTTGCTGAGAGGGATCTTTAACGTGCACAAAGCGTGGTACTCCATGAACACGGGACCTCGGATTTAACGTCCCCATCCGACGGACATCATTATTATATATTCAAAGAAACAGGTCATAATATATAAACAGTAAAACACAAAAGTTTTCATAATTCTTGGAAATCTTTCTCCTTCAACAAGTAACTGAAATGTCTGTATTGTCCGATCCCTCGCGAACATTCAGAGAACTTGTATATAAGTCTCACTCTAAACAAAGCTATCGAAAGGAGTAGGTCCGGTAATGGCCGATTTTGGCCTCAAAATTCAGGTTCATCTGATGAAAGATTTTGGACACTTTTTAAATACTTAAGTGTCTACTTCAGTCGATTCAATTAGTTTATGTGAAAGATTTGAACTGATTTAGTCATAAAAGACGCCCAAATTCAAGCTTAAATATGAAAAATCTATCAAATATGCCATAATATGTCACTTTTCAGATGGTTTTTGTCAAAAATGAAAGTGGCCGCATCCGTGTTCATTCTCAACCTTTATATATGTTATGTATTATCATCAAATACAACTTACATTTAAATATTAAGAATGAACACAAATGCGGCCACTTCCATTTCAGACGGAAACCGTCTAAAAGTTAACCAAAATGCTAAAATTTCGAAGATTTCAGTAATTTAGCATGAATTAATGATGCTAGTGCCCGAAACATGTGCATTGTATTGTCAAAAACAGCCCATATTTATGTAACAGAAGTATTCTTCTTTCCAATAAATAGCTAAAAATTTACATTTTAACAATTTTGTAAAACTGCTATATTTTGGGGCCAAAAAGGGGTCTTAGTGGACCTTCTCCTTTGTATCCGGACTTATTACTGTATGGTCCTGTCAAGCCTACCTAGCTATGATATTTGCATGTTAATTACTTCAACTGTTCCATTCACCTTTACCATATTTCTGTTTCTTCGACATCTTTGCCATTTTCTTTGTATCGTCTCACGATTCTTCTCTCTACCAACATCAACCCAGAAGTAGCAGCTGGCCTTACAACCTATGCTGGTTATGGGATGGTTCCTGTTGTAGTTGTTGTTATACACTCTACATCCATTGGTGAGGATGAGAACAACAACGGCGTAGGGTTTGACATTGAAGATTCATCCGAGTCAGTTTCAACCACCCTTGGAACCAAGAACGAGCTGGCCAAAGGAGATGCCACAATAGTTGCAGTGGTGGCTGGCATCGTGTTTGCTGGCATTCTTGGAAATGTGAATTTCTCGGACGTTACCTTCTGTGGTGCCAAAGAACTCTCCAAGGTGTCTAGTAGCCTCTTTCTGGGGAGAAGTGGTCTTCCTGACCACTCTGACTTGGATGAGCAAACTTAATGCCATCACCGAGGTGCTTGTTTTACTAGTCTTGGTTCTCGATGGTTCTCCGAGTACATCTGACATGGTCCCCGGGTTTTGCTTCTCCCATTCACTGTCTGTATTCTCTATGATGATAAGGATGTTGGATGTCTTCTTCTCTAGTGCCTCATAAAGTCACTGTTTCTGCTGGTAGCATATGGACAAATGTCACATAGGAACTTTTCCTCGGCAGACCTTTTCTTCGCACATGCCAGAACGTGGTCCTCCAAGTCTTTCTCCGTGTTAAAGCGTACCTGCCATACTGGGCATCTCCATCGTGCACGTGGTGTCTTCTTAGTGTTTGCCATCTGTAATTAAAGAGAAATCATTGTAAATATATACATGTTTATACAAAATTACATATTATGTATATGATTATACTTTCTATAAGCGTTTCATTTATTTTTTTAATCTTGAACATAGTCATTTAACTAAGTGGGAGGCTTTCTTTCCCGTCTTAACCTTAGTAAGTTAATGTATTCGTCTTGTTCAATGGTCTCATATCTCTTCTCAAAATCAAATTCAAATGAGGCATTTTCGCCAACATCTTGAGCTTGATCGTTCATTTCGGATACCTGATTTGACG